ACAAAAAAAACCCTTATGTTACAAATTAGCTGATACACGTGTGAATTTTCCCTATTGATCTGGACCATTCATCTAAACTAATTAATGGTCTAAAAAGAGGCTCACGAACTCATCTGCCAAGGGGGTGTGCACCTGATCCAAAATCTATATATATATATATATATATATATATATATATATATATATATATATATATATATATATATATATATATATATATATATATTCATAGAACAAAATAATAATAATAATAATAATAATAATAATAATAATAATAATAATAATAATAATAATAATAATAATAATTAAGACTTTCAATTTTTAGGCAATTTTTTTTTAATAATTACCATGTTTAGATTTTGTTTTGACAAATAAGTTTAATTTTTTTGTGTTACAAGTCAAACCTCCGCCGCTATCCGATGATGTGCACTAAATAAATTTAATTTTTTTAATAGTATTAATAGTTGTCTTAATGATACAATTTTAAAAGTATAAGGATTAAATTATACAAAATTAAAGTACATGAACTAAATAGTATAAAGTCAAATGTATTGTGATCGAGCAGCATAGCTGTGGCCCTTCAAATGAGAGGTCTTAGGTTCAAACTCTAGTGTAATACATTAAGAAAGTATGTATGAACAGGTACTATATAGTAATAGAGTCAATAATATTCAAAAAAAAAAGTATAAAATCATATAGTACCTAGATATCCTAAATACTTTTACCCCACATAGCTAATTATTCAAATACTAAAATAAAACTTCTTAAATTATTAAAATAATAATAAAAGGCTTATATTGTTATTCTCTATATTTTGTTTGGAAAATATCATAATAATTCATTTTAAGTTGGTGTAAACTTTTAAAATTCAGGTTCTATTAATCTATTCCTAATACTTTACTTCCTCAACTCGTTATCCCTGAAAAATCTGCAGGTGGATAATTGCACAATATTAATATATTTACATAATAATTATTATAATAATTATTATAATAATAGTATAATTATAATAAAACATGGGTCGATATGTTTTTCTATAACTATAGTACAATTAATTTTTTGATAATATATATAACTATTATGTTAATTAAGCTAATAATTATACAAATATTAATATAATTACAATTAAACATGGGTCGTTAGATTTTTTTTTTTAATAATTACAATTAACTCATTAAGATATGAAGGAGAAAGAAAAAAGTAAAGGCAATATGGTGAAAAGGGATATATATAATATACTTAATGTATAAAAGTATCATTGCACATATATTAGTATAATTACCTAATAATTATTATGGTAATTCAGTTAAACATGGTCGTTGGATTTATTTTTATAATAATTACAATTAAATTATTTTTTCTATATTTATTTTAGTAATAATATAATTACATAAATCATATTACATATCAATTTTTTAAAGATAATTGCTGATAAATGAGTCATATATTATTCAATTAATTGAGTTATACTTTTGCACTATTCTTATAATCAAATAAATATACACTTTTAAATATTAGAATTGTTTATAATTTTATCTTTAATTTTATTATCTAAATATATAATAAAAAATTTTATTCGTGCATCGCACAAGTAATTGGGCAATTATTTGCTCGAATTCAAGCAAGGATAACATCAGAAAACATAATCAATCAAACTCATTTCATCAATTTCACTAATAATATTCATTGTTATAATTTATATAATTGTATATCGATCCAAATCTTCTTAAAATATTGCAACAATATCTATTTCGTGCAAGCACGGGTGAAAATTCTAGTTTAATGTAAAATAAAATAGCATTGATGATATGGTGAAACAATGGGTGATAGGGTGATGATGTGGCTAAAAATATCCATGTTTAGAAAATTAGTTTAAAAGTACTCATATTTAAGAAATAAGATTTAAAAGTATCCATGTTCGGAAAAGAACTACATGAATCACATACTTGAATGATCAGTAGTTCTATTATTGTTAACATTCTCGATCGAGCTCATGGCATAAGGTCTTCCTAGTGCATTTATCTCTCCTGTATGATTTACTAGATATTACATAGAAGTAAGATTTACTTAATGCACACCTTCTATGAGTTTTTCTTATATATATAAAAAAAAAAAAAACTATCTTTCTATGAACTAACTTAATATTTAATATTAGATAGATAATGATAATATAGCATATTATATTACTATTGACTAAAAAATATGTCACATATACATTTAATATATATATATATATATATATATATATATATATATATATATATATATATATCCAATGTATTCTGTTAGTGTTAAGTTAATTAAACGGATCCGTTAAATATAATATAAAAGAGGCAAACTCCATTTCGTCCACCCATTTTCCTTCTGCATCCTCTGTGATTCATCCTGATTTCTTGGCTAGAACCGTTAAGTATGATATAAAAAAGGCAAGCTTCATTTCGTCCACTAATTTTATTTCCGCATTCTCTCTAATTCGTACGGCTCATTTTCTCAGCAGATTCCTCCCATTATTCATCAGCTAATCTTTGATTTCCTATCTCTCATACGGTACCTATGAGGACCTGCAATCAGCGCAATCCTCTTTATTACATTCTCATCACCGGTAAGAACAACTACAATCAACGGCAGCGGCATTCAATGGGTATGAATATCAATTGCGCCTCAATGTTTAATCTAAGGTAAATTAATTAATATTTGTTGTTAATTTCATACAATTTGATGGCAGTCCTTGAATGCTCAAATACCTAATTGCAAAATTTTGCCAGTCAAATTAGTTATGAATTTCTTATTACTTTATTTAGTTTTGGAACATTGCTTGATTTTAGGATGTATGTAGCTACTTAAACTGCTCCATTGTACACTGAAGGCACCATCCAATAATTCCAGGCTTTTATTGGTTCCTTTCTCTAAAACTTTAGTTTGTAATTCCAACCTCTGTTATCTCTTATCCACCACCTTCAGGTTCTTACTTTCCCTGTTTATTCTTATTGTTGGATGGATAGTGATGCTTAGAGTTTGTATATTTAACTCTTTATGACAGTGTGGAAGTCTTGAAAGTTGCTTTATCGGGTGATATTTTCATTTTTGTTTGATCCAGAGTAGGAATAATAAAAAGATAAAATGTTTAGGTAGAGAATTCAATTCTGGTGGTTAAGGTTTCAGTGTCACGGTTTGTAATGCATATGATGTTCATTTAAAAACATAGTGAATCAAGGTTGGCTTTATAGGTGATGGTAGAAGTGTAAGTTTTTTTGTGAAACTGAAAATGCATTTCTATCTTGATAGTACTCTTTTGGGAACTTATGTGGAAAACTGAAAATCTTATCTCATGATAAGTTGCGGACCTGACCAACATGGATGGTTTCTTCTGTCTCACTCCACCGTTTTTTCTTCTTTTCTTCTTTTCCCTGTTCCAGTGTTGTTCCATTGCTGCCACTAAACAAGGCCACATTAGTGTTATCTATTATTCAATTTTTAAACCCCTCATCTAATTATTTACATGCTACAACTCAAAATCCGGGTCTGCCCTCCGCTGTTTCGTCTGGTGATGAACCTCATCAACAAGCAAAAGCAAATCATGATGATCATCATATTGTGGTGTATATCACAGCAACATATAATGATCACTGTGAAAATTCAGAGTATAATACAAGAGAGTAGTTGAGGTTCATTGGTCAAATTTTATATGTAGTAATTGTTATATGGGTCTAATAATGACTTAAGTAAAATAAACTCTCTTGATGTGATGTTGTTCTTTTCTCTATATATGAGATAATGATATGAAGTAGACTCGCAACTACGGATATGGGTTGTTTGACAAAGATAAACCATAAGTCTAGGATCACATCCCTCCATCACACTTGCTATCTTCACACGCTTAATTGTTTGAGAATTTGAGTTGTTATAGAAAGTTTTTGTCTATCACTTCTACTCCTGAATTATTTTTAATGATATGTAGCATACAGTAACATGAGCAGTGTGATGAGGACTTATTTTCTTATTGGTATTTTGGTATAACTAAACAAACTCACTACAATGGGGAGTGGATTTGCAATAATTTTTCTAAGGGAGTCAAAATGGGTGTGATGTTCTTTCTACTTCCAGTGCTTCATTGTTTCTCTAAGTTGTTGGACTACACTGGTGCATCTACATTACTTTCTCTTGATTTGTTTGATTTATTCTTGTGTCAATGGTGGATGTGTTGAATGTTGATGATCTCTACAGACCTGTAATGATTTGCGAGGATGATCACAACTCATTATGAACATCTAAGGGACTGAGTTATTCACAGTTGCAGAACTGTGCTGAGCAAAGCTAGATGATTTTCCCCTCACTATCCAGTGCTTTTATTGTGCTTTTGGATGTTTAGGAACCACATTATTTTAAGCTATAGATGATTTTCCCCTCACTATTCGGTCTTTTGTTATGATGGTTGCATCGCGCATAAAGGATAAGATGTAAAAAAGGGAACTTGATCCATGTCTTGAAATTCTTATTCAGTTTAGTTCTCTTACCAAAAAAAAAATAATTAGTATTTTACTTTAATTTTTATTGATATGACAAAGAGAGATTTTATTTCACAATAAATAATACTCATAAAAATGCAAGTTCAATTCATTTCCTAAAAAACTTTTTTACTCTGTCTTGAGCTATATTGTTTGAATAAATTTACACCCCCTAAATTAAAAGTTTTTCGCAACAAATTAACACACTAACAAAAGACCGGTATTTCCATGAAAATATATATCTTTTTCTGATATGCTAAGAATGTTGTATAGTTTTTATGCTTATCTACTCCACTCTCCCTCCCCTCTGATGCACATGCTTTCATGAATATCTTGTACTACTACTACATGTTCATAACATACATACATACATACATACATACATACATACATACATACATATATATATATATATATATATATATATATATATATATATATAATATTTTTAAATATTCTCTTCTAATTTAAGGTATAATATTATTTATTGTACAG